GTGGAGCACTGGGTGTTATACACAAACAATGAATCATGGAACACTGCATCAAAAACTAATGATGTAATGTATGGTGATTAACATAATAAAAAAATTTTTATCTAAAAAAAGTCTTTAATGGCTTCTGATTGCCAATAAAATGATGAAATTTAAAACTTTTACCTGACATATATATAGTGCTCTTCATAATCTGACCTCTGCTTATCTAACCTTTTTTTAGATATCCCCTTTCCCTGCTTTAATCTGTAACATTCAAACTAGTTGCATTTCTGAGATTATATCATGTTCTCTCATGATATATGTATTTGCCATCCTGCCTTAAATAATTTTCTGCTACTTGTCTACTTGCCCTTCACATAAGGTTCTCTACATTTTGGCTCAAACTGACCTCCCTTGTGAAGCCTAGCCTGACTCCTCTAAAAGTCTTACTATTCTACCATTGCTCTTTGTTCCCACATGGTTTATTTTTAATTTGCCTGCATGTTTATTTCTTCAATAGGTTTTAGTTCCCCCGATGGAAAAAGACCAATTTTCATCTGGTATCTTCAGCACTTATCACGGCTCCTGGAAATAAGAGAAACTCAGATACTTTTTGATTGACTTTAAGATCTGAGAAAGTTTCCCAAGAAATTTACTCTTGTAGTAAATAAATGATCTCCACCCCTCCCCCACCCCAAGTTTTCCAGGTTTCTTCCAAAATCTAGCAGGCAGCTCACTATCAACTTTCCTTGCCACTTTATTTTTTTAAAGAAAGACTTTTTTTTTTTTTAATTTTATTTATTTATTTGTCAGAGAGAGAGGCAGGCAGAGGGAGAAGCAGGCTCCCCGCCGAGCAAGGAGACCCATGCGGGACTCAATCCCAGGCCCCTGGGATCATGACCTGAGCTGAAGGCAGATGCTTAACGACTGAGCCACCCAGGCGCCCTCCTTACCACTTTAGATACGACTGACCATTTCTTCCTTTGTGCTCCCACTAAATGTAGTATATTAGTCCTATCCTAGCAGCAATCATATTTAAGATTGTATCCCAATTATCTGACACATTAAGCACGCAATAATTAAACGAATCAGTGTTCACCTTGATTAAGGAGACTTTCTTGAACATTCTAGGAGAATGTCACCATTATGCATAGACTGTAAAAAATCTTTTACAATCCAAACCTGATGATTGTTTTTAAAATGATGCATCCCGGGGCGCGTGGGTGGCTCAGTTGGTTAGGCGACTGCCTTCGGCTCAGGTCATGATCCTGGAGTCCCGGATCGAGTCCCACATCGAGCTCCCTGCTCAGCGGGGAGTCTGCTTCTCCCTCTGACCCTCTTCCCTCTCGTGCTCTCTGTCTCTCACTCTCTCTCTCTCAAATAAATAAATCTTTAAAAAAAATAAAATGATAAATCCCCCTGGCACTTTAACTGTCCTTAGACAGATGGCCAAAGCTTGGCTGTGGGAACCGCATATGGTAGGAGGAGACCATGACTAGTGCGCGAGGCAAAGGATGATTGGCAGCTAGGGCTCAGAAGTTCTCCTCAGACCTAAGCTAGGACTAGGAAACTGCTGATGGTTCAGCTTTTGAAATACGGTTTTCGCATTCTAAAGAAAAAAGATTAACCTATCAGAAACAACCGAGCACACCCAATTACCAATCAAGAGCGGGAAAGGAGCCAAAGCCTGGGGATACCCACGCACCAACGAGGACGTCATTCTCTAGTCTCAGCCAATGAACGGTTGGACGAGGGAGGGGGCGGGGTAACAGGCGGACCAATTGCCACAAAAAACAAACAATCTGCAGTACAACTGCCCTAACCACAGCGCTCGCCTCTCAAAACGCTGGAGCAAACTCCAGAGCAAACCACTTGTCAAATACTTTCCACTCTCCTTCTCTCCCGGGAGCAGTTATAGTGGAGTACCTTCCTCACACCAGAACAAGGGCCTTCTTTCCACCAGCTCCCACAGACTCGCAGAAAGAATACGGCAACTTTGAGCTTTCTACCTTCACAGGAACTGGCCGTCCGGCGCTACCTGAGGGGGAGGGGCGGCCCCAGTGCGCAGGCGTGCACGCCTCGTGGGGGCGGGCCTGTGGCGGTCCAAAGCATCCTGGGTGCTGTATTTCTTTTGCTGGCAAAACTCGACCACTCCTGTAGCTTTCGGAACTACATTTCCCAGGAGTCTCCGCGACTCCGGGGTGGGCGGGATGGTTCGTTAATGAGCTCGAGGAAGCCGCGGAGCTGCCCACCAGGTTCCAAAACAAGGAAATGAAGGGGGGAGGCGGGACTGGGGCTGCCTGCGGGAGTCGCCGCCGCCGCCGCCGCGGAGGAGGAGGAGGTGGTGGAGGAGGTGGCTGCCGCGGCCGCCGAGGAGTCCCTTGCTGAAGGCGGACCGCGGGGCGGCGGGTGGCGCGCGCGCGCCCGAGAGGCGGCTGTTAGAGAAGTGGAGCGGCGGTCGCGGGGGGAGGAGGAGGAGGAGGAGGGACTGAGCGGCGGCGGCCCCCGCGTCCCGGTGCCTCTATGGGGAAAGCAGACAATGGATTATGATTTCAAGGCGAAGCTGGCGGCGGAGCGGGAGCGGGTGGAGGATTTGTTTGAGTACGAAGGGTGCAAAGTGGGACGCGGCACCTACGGGCACGTCTACAAGGCGAGGCGGAAAGATGGGTAAGAGCAGGGGCGGGGGAGTAGGCTCGCTTGGGTCCTCGCCCAGCCCGCGACCGCGCGGGATGGGTGGGTCGGAGCCGGGTCGGGCCGTTCCTGAGTGGCGAGGCGGAGGTGGTCGCGGGGCCGTGTCCCAGCGCGGACTGAGGGACGCGGGTGCTGCCCGCCTCCTGCGCGGCCCCGTAGCGCCCCTCGAACTCCCGTGGCGCAGCCCAGTCGGGGGGCGTCGGTCCCGTCCCAGAGGGCGCCTTCCGCGTGCATGGAGCTGGCGGCGGGACTCGAGTTGGGACCTCGGTTGGAGGTGGAGTTTGTGGGGTCTGGCCTCTTGGGGAGACGCGGAGGGATGAGAGAGCTTTGCCGAGGAGTTGCCGCTCCGGCCCTGGGCTGGTGACGGTCGTTGTGGAACTTCCAATCGGCTGAGCGCCTCCCGGGGGCGGCGGTTTGAAACCTAGCCGAGGAGCCGGTCGCGCGGCCGAGTGCTGGGGTCCTAGCCAGCCTCACGGGTCTGACCCGCCGGGCACCTCTGCCCTTGGCGCCAGCCAGCCCGTTCACTCCTCAGCGCAGCCCCCCGTCCCAGTCTATACCTGGTGATTTCTGGATTCCTCTTCATTCGCCCCCGATGGCGCTTTTTCACGTTCTGAATTCCGCACCTTACCTCGAATGTAGGACCTCCTGGGAAACTAACCGCGTTTTACCCGCAGAACTTGAGAGTTCGTCTAGTTCTCTGGTAACTCATTTCCCCCCACCTTGGATATTCTGATGTCCTGCACTCCGTCCCCTGGCTAAATGACTGCGTGCTAGGCTTTATCGAGCACCTAGATTATCCAGAACGGAATGTGAAATGACAGAGATCTGGGCCTGAATCTTTGTTTTCCTGGGAGTTGAGGGAGAGCCGTAGTAACCTCTTAGGGAGGCTTTATTGATTGTTCTCTTAGGAGAAGGCGAGCTGGATAAAGTATTGAGAACGCCTGTCCTTCGTCCTGTAGGGTAGACGATCTCGTACTGTAGGACAGGTGGAACCAGCTCCCTGCCTGTGAGGGGTAGGTTTAAACCAATCGCTTCTTCACCGCCCATCCTGGCAGAAATTCTCCTCCCCCAGAGTTAGGAGCCCAGGAACGTCTATCTACCTGTCCCGCTTAGATTTCAAAGACTTAGATTTCAAAAACTATATGAAAGAGAGTCTTTAGGGTCGTAACGGAACATTTCTGAATAAATTATCAGCCAAAATGACATTAATAAGATTTGAAGTGTTGCCTATCGTTCTGCGCACTCTGTTGTAATTGATATAATTGATTTATGGACTCTAGGACGAAAGTAGTTGGAGTGTGTGTGCTAATTTCGTACAGAGAACGAGAAAGCACAGCTTTACAAATTGTTTTATCACAAAGTGTCATGGAAATCACCAGGTACTATACACGTGTAAAGGATTGTTACTGAAAGTAATTTTTGTCTTATAACTGAACAGGCCCCATGGTATTCAGTTGTAAACTTTTCTCATAATTCTTTCAGTTAATTGCCAGGTGTCCTTGAATTAATATCTTGGAATGTGAGGTACTATAATTAACTTGTATTTTGTTTTTGGAATATTAACTTTCCTTGTTTTACTGGTGTCCCTGTAGTAATCTTACCAGATATACTTGGGGAGAGGATATCTAGTTTTCCTATTTGGACATTGGCATTACAAAACAAATTACACGTGGTGTTTTTCATACTCCTCATGCTAACTTTATAATATACTTGATCTGGAATTTCTAAAATGTATTTTCATTTTTGTTGTTAAAATAGCTTCCTTTCAGTAGGCAACTTTTGAGAAAAATTGGAAATTCTGCTTTTGAATTGTATTTCATTAGCACGGGGTATAACAAAAAACATAATTTAATTCCTGCTTCTAATTGTTCTTTTTGAATATTTCCCCTCTAATAAAGTTCTTGATTCGACTACACTTTCTTCTTGAGTGAAATTTGTTTGATTAGAATTAATAAAGTTTCTTTAATAGAATAAGATCAGTTTGTGTATTTTCAAAATATACTTTTTAAAGAAACTTGTAGGATCTGAAAGCATTAGTTGATATCACTGTATTACTTGTAAGAAAAATCATTATAAAGGTAGGTTTTCTTGGACCAAGGGTTTGGTTGAGATTTGAGGCTTTACAGTAAACACATCTCTTGTGGGTTGGTAGGATTAGTTTTATGTTCATTGATACCAGCGATTTGAAAGAATAGAAAGTTTTTAGTGATGGTTCTAAACTCTGATGCAGATTTGCATAGTAAAGGATTTTACACTCTCATCATGGTCAATTACAGTTTAGCTCTTTACAGAATTTATTTTGGTTAATTCAGAAAAAATGTATAATGCTGTTTTAGGGAGCAAGAAAAAAGTCACATGGGTTCGTTAAAGAAAAATTATTCTGATGTATATAACATAGTATATAACCAAAAAATCATTTAGGTCTTTTGGAGAAACACTGGAAGAAGTAATGTAACACAAAACATCACTAGAAAAGCCTCTGCTTGTAGTTTAATACTACAGTTTAAAAAACCTTAGAATATTTTCATTGAAATAGGACTTTAACTTAGACTATGTTAATTATACTACATAAATTTATAACAGTGGAAATGAAAGATTACCTTTGGGTTTTTCACTTTTAATAAAAATGTTACTTTTTCTTTTTGTTTTGAAGGAAGAGAATCTTTTGACCCAACCATCCTTTTTAAATAAACTCAGGCTTAAAAGTTATTCTTGAGAAACAAGTTCAGAATATTTCTAGATTTTTTAGTTTGAGCAAGAATTTGTAATAGTTTTTCTTTTAAGAGTAACAAGTCACATATAACGGTTTATGGTTACAAATTTCAAGACCATATTTCTTAAATTTGAAAAACTTTGTTTTGATTGATAAAGGAATATTGTTAAAAAGTTCTTTTGTCAATAAGAGGTTCAAACAAACTTGATTCCATAGGATAGTGTTATGTCTGAAAACTGTTGTACCCAACAATAGTACTATTCAACTTTGCAGACATTCATTTAGTCTTTGAAACACTCTAATCAAAGAATGCTCCTTTTTGGAGATGTCTGAAAGATACTCGTTAATTGAAAGTGAAATGGCTGACTGACAACAGTTTCAGTTTTGCCTTAGGGTTTCAGATGAGTAGTTGGTGCCTATATATCTTAATGTATAAAGTTACTGATGAGCAATTGGTGTCTGCATGTCTGCTAATGTAGGTCACGAAATCCTTCACAAATGTAGTTAGGTACATGTGGTAAATAATAATAGGCATGGTCATAACAGCCTGGTTTTGATAGATTTTTCATATTTGGTTTGTAGTTAAAATAGACAATTATATTTGCATTCTTTTTTTTGAGATCTACGAAGATTAAAGATGATGTATCAGTAGGATCATAGCATTTTAGAAAGCTATCAAGAGTTTTAAGATCATTTAGTCTCATTTCTTTACAAATGAGAAAACCAGAGCTGTTAGAGGTTGTCATGACCATAGTCGCACAGCAAAGACAAGCCTCACAGCAAATTGCAAGACAGTAATCCAGATCTCGTGACTGAATTACTGCATTTTCTAATGTGTTTTCCTTCTTTAATACCATAGGAGGCAAAACAAAAAAGGTCATGTTGCCTCTAGTTTATTGTATAAACTTTTTCCATGTAAAGGATACATCTATACCAACAAATACAGAAAAGGGAAAATATCCCATGGACATTTAAAAAAAGTAGAAGTGCAGGCCTGTAGTTCTCTTTATCTGGTTTCTCTGCATTCTCACTGTCTTACTTTTGTCCACCATCTTTGATTTGTACAGTAGCTTAATTGGTTTCTGCTGTTAGGTTAGTCTTTCCTCATGATAGTCCAAGATCCAAGTTGCCTGGGGTCATTTTTCTACAAAATAAAATCACTCGTCACATCTTGGAAAACTGTGCAGTCTCTCTGGCTCATACAATCACATCCAATCTTAATTCCTTACTTTGGCATGTAAAGCCATTTGCATTTGGATCCTAAAGTCTTTCGTCTTTACAGCCTTTGTGCTTGCCACCAACTCCCTCCTTTTTTCCAGAGTGTTCAAGCCATGCTTCTGTAGCACTGAACTCATATTTTCTAGGACTTGGTAAGTCCTTTTCATTTCTATTTTTTTTCTATAGTCGAAGTAGAATGGTGTTGCTCTGCTACTCCCTGCCTTTTCTCCTCACTCCCAAAAACTTGGCAAACTCCTGCTCATCCTTAATACCTAATTCAAATAGCTTTGCTTCTAGAAGCCTTCTCTTATTCACCAAGTGTGTTCATTAGCTGTGATTCTGTCCTTCTTTGTTCTTAGGCGTGTAATATCACTATAAGTAGTAACCCGCAGGGCTTGATCTCACGACTTTGAGATCATGACCTGAGCCGAAATCTCAAGAGTTGGAAGCTTAACTAATTGAGCCACCCCAGGTGCCCATTCTGTGCTTTTACTAGCAATTTTATAGAGATGCTTAGAAAATGTTAGCATTCAAGCATACTTTAGGAAATTTATTGATATTACGGGTTTATGTTAATAAATTTATCTTTAGCACTTAGTAAATCAAATGGTCATTGGTTTATGTTTAATTGGTTCTTCATTTATGCAGTGCAAGCTTTCAGAACTTTAATTTTGAAGCCCAAGGGAAATAAATGTTCTTTTCAATGAAATTTGATTGTTTAGAGCAATGGCCAACAAACTTTTTCCACAAAAGAGGCAGGTACTAAATATTTTGGGCTTTGTGAGCCATACCATATTTGTTATAATTACTTGAATCTGCTGTTGTAGTACAAAAGTATCCACAAATAATATATAAATGAATATAAATTAGAATGGCCGTGTTCCAATAGAACTTTATGTACAAAAACAGGTGGTGAACTGGCTTTGGTCTGTAGGCTGTAGTTTGCCCTGCTTAGTTTACCAACCCTTAGTCTAGAGCACTGATGCCCAATAGAACTTCATGCAATGATGAAAATGCATCTGTGCTCTACAGTATAGTAGCCACT